GGCTGCAGCGAGACTCTGAGCAGGCTCGCTGACTCCCCTGGGAACCGCCTCGTGCCTTCCTCCCCGCAGGGCTCTTTGGAGCCAGATGCTGTTCTGATACTGAGGTTGTCTTTGGAGCACTTTCGCCTGCTAATCAGCTCAGGGTGTGTTTGCCTGCTCTGTGTATCTAGCTAGCTGCTGGGAGAGGTTCTCACCAGCCAGGATGGACAGTCTGTCCCAGGCCGGGCTGGGGAGCAACCGGGCCTGAGGGCCATCTAGAAGGAAGGCAGGTGGTTTGTGGCCGCTGTGAAGTTGTCCCCCCACCCCGCTCACAACCAAACAAAAGGCAGCTTGTGTCCAGTGAGGGCTTCAGAGCAGGCGGCGGTGGTCCAGGGCTTTCTGGGGACACTGTCAGGCATGGGTGGCCAGGCCCTTCTTCCTGGTCCCTCTGGTCTGGAAGCTCCACAGCAGCCTGTTCTGGGGCCTGGCCACCTGCCAGCAGCCCCCCACGGGCAGGTGCTGTGGTCACACTGCACTGAGGGCTGGGGGGGTGGACCAAACTCGGGACTCTGGAGGGGGGGGGGTGCTGCTTTTGAAGCACCACAGCTTCTCAGAGGCACACTGGCAGAGGGGCCAGCAGGAGGCCCCACTAGGGCACACAGCTGTCTGTGTGTTGGCAGGTGAAGTCCGGTGTTCAGCCCTGCCTGCCCATGCAGCCTGGCCCAGTCCCGTCCCCCCACCCCCACTGTCTGAGATGACAGGAGCCAGGCTGGCGCCCTGAGGGCATGCTGTTTGGTGCCTCTTGCCAGACCACATACCCTGTGAGCCTCCGGGCACCTGCCACGACTCAGACAGATGAGCAGGCCAACAGGCCAAGCCCATGGGGGTGGGGTGCTCAGTGATGGGGGCTGGGTGTCTGCCTGTGGCAGGGGGGGGGCAAGGGGCATGGGGACATTGAAAGGGACGCTCCCCCCAAGGAGGAGCCATTGAGCCGAGACCAGCTGGAGGGGGAGCTGGGAAGATAAGCAGGGCAGTGGGGTGCAGAGTGGACGCTGACCAGCCCAGCTTTGCCCCCTGACCCTCCAGAGATGCCCTTGGGGATCTGTCCACATGGGTTCTTTGCCAGCTCCCCCCTGCCCCTCCCCTTCCTCACAGCCACAGCCCTCCCTGCTCCAAATATGATGGCCTTGGGGCTGGAGCTGCTTGTGGAGAAGCCCCCGTCCGATCTCCTCCCGAGGGGCTGTCGCCCCAGCTGTGGGGGGGACAGCCATGCGGGGTGGTGGACGGGACACAAGCCCTGCTTCACAGAAACATAAAGAAGCGGTTGTTGTTCTTGGAAAGGGTCTTGTCTCCCAAGATGCTTCATTTCTGGGTTCGCTCCCACTCTACTGCAATCTTCCCTTAGAACGGGGTTCCCAGCCCCGGCAGGGCACACAGGAGATGGGGGTGCAAAGGCCCAAGCCTCCCACCCTGTTCCTCTTTCCTTTGGTTCTGCCAAGGCTGCTCACAGTGCCTGTGGGGTGACCCCCACTCCCACCTCGTCCTCTGCCTTGCTGGCCCCCTCTGTCTCTGCTCCCTGGCCTCCAGCCCCACCGGCCTCCCATCAGGATGACCACTGGCCCCTGGGAGCTGCCCCGGGCCACTCCCACCAACCATGGAGTGGGGGTGGGCAGAAGCCCCCCGCTGTGCCTGCACCCATGTTAGGCTCCCTGCTGTCTCTGGCTGGGGCAGCTGCCTGCTTCACATTCCCAATATGCACCTGAATTAGCCCCCTGGTCCTCTTGCACAGAGGGGTTTGCAGAGGGGGATCTGGAGTCCAGGGGGCCCCCATGTGGCACCCTCCCTCAGGAGCAGCACACAGCAGGGGCAGAGGGGCAATTGTGGAGTAGGGAGGCCAGGTGGGGGCTGGTGGAAAGCACAGAAGAGGGGGTCCCAGAGACTCGGAGAGCAGGGATGCTAAGCCAAACCAGACCCCTGATCTCACCTGTAAGGTTTGGGGCAGGCCCCTCAGTGACCCAGAGTCCCTAGGGTCAGCTGATTCTGGAGGCCTTGCGGGGCCAGGCCGTTGATGCTCAAGTCCCTAGAAACCAGTGGCCTCAGCTGGCATGGGACGGTCCCTCCTGAGAGGTGAGGGTGGTCAGGGAAGATGTAGCTGGCTGGGCAACCCCTCACTGTAGGCGGGCCAGGGCCTGTGGGCAGCTTCCCTGCCAGCTGGGCGCTGGCAGCACTTGGTAGCCCTGGGAGGCGCTATTTTTAGCCCCAGCCTGATTGGAGGAAGAGTCTGGGAGGCATGGGGCAGTGTGGACAGTCCTTCAGCCAGCTGTCCTCTGCCACTGTCCCCTGCCCGTAGGTAGCATGCAGGTCCACAGCTCTTTCTGTGCCTCTGAAGAGAGCCAGAGTCCCTGGGGAGCCCTATTTCAGGGGCCCTTCTCCACTGCATCTCAGTCCTGGATCCCTCCCCAGGCAGGCCCCACCCTGAACACTGCCTGGCTGGGATTAGGGCATGTTCTGCACAGACCTGGCCTGAGCTACAAAGATCAAACAGGCCCACGCAGGGATGAGCCCCCCCACCCCCACCCCACCGTGGCTCCCCACCATGGCCCCACATGCCTCTTTTAAACCCTTGGAGCACATGGATGCTGTTTAAAACATGGCAATGCTTAGGATCTACTGACAATACGGTATTTGTGCACATCAAAGACTTCATCAAAAGAGTCAACAGAGAACCCACAGATGGGGGAAAAGTATTCCGTAATAATACATCAAGACTAGTCTCCAAAATCCATAGAAAACTACAGCATCCAAACAAGAAAAATACAAACAGCCCAATCAAAGATGGGTACCAGACAATTTACCAAAGACGACATCGGGAGGCCAGCCACAATAAGAGAAATACAAACTAACTCCTCACAGCATTCAGTCAAACAAATAATGCTGGGGAGGGTGCTGAGGGATCATGGTGGCACTGTAGAAAGATGCGCTGCGATGGAAATCGACGTGGAACCGCCTTACACACACAAATACTAGGACCTTAAGACCCAGCAGCCTCTCTGCTGGGTGTATAACCCTAACGAAATCAAGACGACATGTGCAGACATGCCCACCTGTGCTGATGACAGCAGCTTCCACAAAAGCTAGAACCTGGAGACAGCCCCAAAACCCCAACTAGGGGGAGGGCTAAACAAGGTCTGCTCCATTCATACAATGGACTAGCAGTCAAAGCCACGACAACCCTCTCCGACGTTACAAGACGCCGACAAAGCCAGAGACTACTCTGCTTACCAAACTTAGTTGATCTTAAAGGTAAATATTTACAACCCCGTTATTGCAAGGAGAAGCAAAGACAAACATGGTTTATAGATCACAAGATAAGACTTGGATAGCTATGTGGGGGGCAGGGAAAGGGGCGGGAACAGGGAGACAGGAGGATGGTGAGGAGGGTGGGAGGGAGGACAGATCAGGGGTGGGGGAACCACATACACTGACAACTTAAGAGAGTGTTGATTTCCTTTCTTGAAATGGACTGTGTCAATATATACAGTATGTTTCTTTAAAAACAACAACATTAAAACCCCAATTCCTTATCCTCGAATCTGAACTGGTCTGAGTGGCTTAAAAGTTTTTTTAAAAAAGCAAAAACTGACGAGGACTTGGAGGTTGTATGACCTCAAACAAACAGACAAAACCACAAGGTCACGGCCAACTCCGCCCACAGCCCTGTCTGAGAAGAGAGACCCTCCCCCACCTGGCCTCCTCCGACCTCACCAGCCCCTGCCCAGCCCTTCTGCTGGGAGCTGCCCCACTCCTACCTGCTCATCCCATCTGCTCATCCCATCTGCTCATCCCATCTGCTCATCCTACCTGCTCATCCTACCTGCTCATCCTACCTGCTCATCCTACCTGCTCATCCGTTGACAAGTACCTGGGAGTGAGTGCTGCTGTGAAAGAGGCCAGTTGCTGGCCCACCGGGTCCGAGGGCCACCTGGGCCTTCTCCGCCCCCGACCCCAGGATGTCCGAGAGGCCCAGTGGCCTGATGGAACTCAGGCAGCCTGACCAAGTGCCCCCTGGCCTGAGGCTCCTCAGCCTGCCCGGAGTGATCAGCAAGGCCCCATCATGCTCTCTCTCAGCCTCCATTGCCTCGGGGGGCTGATTGCCCCTGCGAAGCCCTGGGCCTTCCCCCATCGCAGCCTAGCTGGCCCATCCCATGCTTTCATCAGAGATCCAGGGACACCCCCCTTCCTCCCCCCATCCCCAACCCTGTGCCAGCTCCTGCTCAGGGTCGATGTGCCCAGCCAGGCTCTGCAGGAGCCGTGGGCCGACGCCCCACCGTCAGCTAGCACCTAGCACGGCCCTTTCATTACATTTGCCAGTTGGCTTGTGCCCCTCAAACAGACCCAGTGCCCCTGGTTCTCCATCTGCCCTCCCTCTCCAGGAACCACCAGCGATGTAAGAGTGTCCGATCTCCCAGCATCCCCTCCAGCATTTATTATTTTCTGGCCAGGACTTCAATTCCACACACTATTCTAGGGCTCAGCACTGGGGTAGGGGCAGTGCCCAGGCAGGTCTGGGGGATCTGTCCACCCACCTACTGATATATCCATCCCCTATCCATCCATTCACGCATCCACCACCCATCATTTACCCACCCACCCACCCATCTATCCACCTACCTACCATCCACCCATCTATCTACCATCTACCCACCTACCTACCCATCCACTCATCATTTACCCATTCATCCTCCCACCCACCCACCCACTTATTCATCCATTCACCTACTACCTTCCTTCTATTAACCTACCCTCCTTCTATCCACACACCTACCTACCCACCCACCACTCATCATCTACCCATCATCTACCCATCCATCTACCCATCATCTACCCACCCACCACCCATCATCTACCCATCCATCTACCCGCTCACCCGCACAGATTCCTTCCAGGAACTTGAAAGGGTAGTTAGTGCTGGCAGGGATGGACCTGGGCTCCCCCAGCAGGCACCGCATAACAGGGTGCAGATGGGGGCTGAGGAGAAGCGGAGGCTTGCTGGCAGTGGTGGGATGGCAGAAGCGTCCTCTGCCCCTCCACCAGCTCACAGGGACTCTGGGGAGCTGGAGGAACAGGGCGCGGTGCACGGCGGGGGCGGCGGGGCATTTCCTGTTCGGTCCTGTGGGTGGGCGTGGGGATCATGGCTTACACAACAGCTTATACCTTGTAAATACTCACACTGACCTTCCGGCTCCCCCCTGCGGGGTGGGCCTGCTTGGGTGAGTGGTCTGGAAGAGGGGCAATGGGCCAGCCGCCCATGGCCTGCCCATGCTTCCCAGGAGGGCAGGACAATGCCTCTCCTCACTTGGGTCAGAGCAACTGCATGCAGTCTGGGTGCGGGTGGGGGGGCTAGCAGGGGTCCTGAGGATTAGCCAGGGGGGGTGGCGGTGCGGACAGGGGACTAGTGGGCAGACCTGGCAGGTGTGTCTGGCTCTTGGGAGAAGCCAGTTGGGTGTGGTGGAGGATTAGGGCCCTGGGTGGGTATGACCCCTGTGGGAGGGGCAGTAGTGGTTTGTATGGCTTTTGGTGGGCGTGGTCACCAGGGGGGAGGGCCATAGGTTAGCATGACCTGCCAGAAGGGCTGTGAGTGGGCCTGCCCAGACAGGGGACCTTAGAAGGGACAGTGAGTGGACTTGGTTGGCCCGGCGTGGGGTGTGGTGGGGCTCTATGGGAGTGTGGCCTGTGTGGGTGGGGCTTGGTGGGCGTGGTTGTGGGACCAGGGGCTGGGCAGCCCAGCTGACCCCCTGTGATATTCTTGTCCCCACAGTGCACGTCCTTCTGGTGACCACCGCCTGCCAGGACGCCAACTATGGCCAGTTCATCCGGGAGCTGTGCCTCGGGCGGTTCCAGCAGGACATGGAGGCGCTGGGGCAGACCCTCTGGTGCGACTGGAACAGAACCTTAGGGTGAGTCAGCACCCCATTCTGTGCCCAGAGGGGCCACGAGACAGGAGTGAATGGGGAGAGAACCCCGTGGAGGTCCGGCGAGCAGGGATGGCAGCTCAGACCCAGAGACCCGAGGGTGCAGGGGGTCAGGGTGCACCCTAATGCTGGGGGGGTTCTGTGGCAGGATCCCCCTCTTTAGGGACATCCCAGCTGGTTTCCAGCACCACACTCCTTCCATCCCAGCCCTCCTCTTGCCCCTCCCCAGCGGCTCTGCATGGGAATGAGGGGGACAGTTATCACTGGAAAGGGGAGGTGCAGGCTGCCCCCGGACTCTTTTCTGCATCCCTTGGTCCACCCATCCAGGGGCCGACTCCAGGATCCCAGGTGCTGCTCAGCCTAAGTAGGCATCAGAATTCAGGGTCTCCATGGCCCATGGTCTTTGTTCCTACATCAGGGTGAGCTGGGAGGTCCTGGGGATGTCAGCGGGGGAGTGAGGGGAGAACAGGTGGGGAACCTGTGCCCCAATGCATTGAGGGACCTGTCTGAGACTCAGTTGGGGGGGGCGGTCTCCTTTCCTGAAAGGTGAATTAGGAATCAGAAACACAGACCAGGCCCAGGCTGGGGCAAGTGCCGGCTGACTGATCCCGCCCTCCGCCTCCGCCAGGTGGGTGGTGGTGAATGACTGAATGACAGCTTACATCGAGTTGGGGGTGGGGGGGAGAGCAGCGGGAGGTCCCCCAGGGAGTGGCATCTCCCCCACTTTGTCTAAGTGATTTCTGGTTTGTCAACTCCCAAAGTTGGCCGTGGGGAGTTGGGGCAGCCCGTGGTTTGAAATAGAAGCCCCCACAAGTGGCCCTGCTCAAACCCCGGGGGGAGTTGTCAGCGCTAGGAATCCTGAGAGTCGCGTGGGGAGATGGCTGCAGCTGGCAGCTGGGGCAGATTGCTAGGGGTCGCCTCCTATTTAAAATCGCAGCTCTAATTTGTAACACAAGGAGTCCGATGTCAGAGGCAGCGTTGCCCAGCGCTGGGTCAGGCCTGCCCAGTCCTGGGGGTCTGCAGGCACCAGAGAGACACCCCCCTCCTGATCCCTGGGAGTGGTGATGAGGTTAGCTTCAGGGACAAAGGGAGTTACTGTAACAAGGTGGATCTTGTCTCTTGCCATGGGGTTCATTCTGACCAGGGGGACCCACAGAACTGCCCACAGCATTCCCTGGGCTGTAGCTGACTCACAGCGACCCAGTGGGACCCACAGAACTGCCCACAGGGTTGGTCCTCTGGACAGTCCCCTGGGTGGGACAGATTGCCAGGTCATTTTGCCAAGGAGCCTTTGGTGGGTTCTAACTAAGGACCCCTGCTTAACCAGTGCGCCACTAGGGCTCCTTCAGTTAGACCTTAGAGGCCGCCCAGCTGCTGACCCTGAGGTGGGGGTCTGATAGAATTCCAGCATTCTTGAAAGGTGAGACGGAAGAGGGGTCCGAGTGACTGGGACTGTGCTGTCAGCTTCAGCGTGGAAGAAGGGGTCACGAGGTGACGGGGCAGGCACCTTGAGAAGCCAGGAAGGGCCAGGAGACCGGTTCTCACACGGTTGGGGTGTCTGGGCCCTGGGAAGACCCCCTCAGAGGCAGGGGTAACTGTGATTACCAAGAACAGAACAGGGCAGCAGCTGTGGGGTGTGGCCAGGGGGACCAGGCTGAAGCTGCAGTTGGGAGACCCCAAAGGCAGGAAATTATGGGCAGGGTGCCCCATGGCTCTCTCAGTCAGAGCTGTTAGGGTGGGGGTGGGACCAGGGAGGGGTGAACCTGGCCCAGCCTGAAAGCCGTGAGAAACTTCCTTCCGTCCGTCCTTCTGGCTCTGAAACCGGAGATGATTCTAGTCCAACAACAGCTGCTTGTCTCAGGGCACTGGCCTTCCCCCAATTGACAAGGACACATGTGTGCCACCAGCCTTGCCTGAGAGGAGGGCAGTGGGCACTCCTGAGGGGCAGGGCAGGGAATGTCAAGGCCTGTTTCATACCTGCGTGTACACGTGCCTGGATTGCAAATCTGCCCATGGCTGAGCTGCCCGATGCTGGCTCCTTGTTCATCAACAGCCCCTGACCTGACTCCTGGTCCTCCCCTCCTCCTTCTGGTCCCCAAGACCAGGCCCCTCCGCTGCCTCGTTCTGGCCTCTGGCCTCTGTCTCCATCAGCCACACCCATCTCTGACCAGGGTCTGACCAGGGCCCGCATCTTCAGCTGTCAGCTCCGACAGTGGTTCAAACACTGCCCGGGTCTGTGGGAGCCCTGCGGCCGGGGCCCTGTGGGAGCCCTGCAGCCGGGGCCCTGTGGGAGCCCGTTGGGGCAGCCGAGGTGGCAGTCGGTCTCGCTGCAGTTGCCCTTCTTCTCCGGGGACCGTCCTCGTCCAGAGATTGGTCCTTCCTGAGTGTGTCCACGCCAGGGGGACGCCCTTGCTTCTGAGGAGCATTCCATCTGCACTTCTGTTACCCCAACATCCCACCTGCCCTGGGGCCGTGAGCCTAACCCGTAACCACCCTCGTGGAGCAGAGAACGGAGGGGCTGGGTTCTCAGGAGGCGAGCCAGCGGGCCATCCTTCAGCAACGGAGGCTGTTGGCGGTTGCTCGGCGCACCCCAGTTTCCAAGGGGACGAGTGCTGAGTTCTAACCAGATGAGCCGCGTGTGACCCGCGGGGTAGCGGTCACGCTTAAGGCCCATCACCGCCGCTCGAAGCGGGGAGTGCAGGAAACAGCGCGAGCGAGCACGTGAGACCAGAATCTGACCGGGATCCTCTTGGCAGCTGCTCTCCAACGGACTGCCCCCATCAATCCCATACGATGCCCGAGAGCTGCAGGGGTCCGTGCAACGCCACGCAGGGTTCACAATCCACAGGCTTGTGGGCACCCCGGGAGACAGCTGAAACATGCCGCAGTAAACACATGCAATGCCATGTGGAACCCCCCACATGGCAGACCCCAACCTAAGCGGCTGCAGCAGGCCGGCTCCCAGTGCCCACTCCCCCTGCACACACACACACACACACCCAGAGACCTCTCTGCTCACTCTGGTGGCAGTCAACTCCACAGTCGAAGCTCCCACCATCTACCAGAGCTTGCTTTATCTCGTTAAACGGCAGCTCTGGCGTGGTAATGGAATCCATGGTAATTTGATGTATCCTTGGGGGGGACCTAATCTAATTTTGGAAGGCATGAGGACATGGGGAACTCCGTCATCAGAACTCTCTTTTCCAGAGCACTGGGCGTGGGCGCCCGAGCGGGCGAGGCAGAGGCCGGGCCGGGCGAGGCAGGGGAAGCGGGCAGCGCTCTCCAGAACGGACTCAGAGAGCGGTTGATTCTAGCATGGGCACGTGCTGGATTATTTTCACCCAGGCAAGAAATGCCAGGTTGAGCGGAGTACTAAGAAGCCACCCCTGCAGAGCTCAGGTGTCCATGGTGTCCCTGGGCTGGTGGGACAGGTGTCCGAGGTGACCCAGGGAAGTGGCCGCCGCCAGCTTTCAGCAATGCTCAGGGCCCAGCTTTGTCTCCACACTGCTCAGGGCTGCCCGCTCGCTCTGCCTTCCAGCCCGTTTGCTAAGCCCGACAAGGCCGTGGCCACTTCCCCATTTGCAGTCAACAGCCCACCTCCTGATGCCCAGGTCTCCTCTGCCCACCCCAGCCTCCCGTCACCCGGGTGTGGGGGGAACAGGAAGCTGCAGGGTGCATTTGCCAGGTCAGGGAGGGAGGGCGGAGCCGACAGAAAGCTGTAGGTGCGTCTGCTGAACTTGGCCCTGTGACGTATCCCAGGCACGGTGCGCCCATCTTCCGTCAAGTCTAGCTCCTCTGCCCTGTCCTTCCCTTCCTGATCACAGGAAGAGTGGTAGGCAGATGTACCCACTTGCTGGGGGTCTTGGAAGGGCCTCACCCCCACCCCCACCCCCGCCCAAGCACGCCGAGATGAAGCCCCTTCTGAAATTGAGGCACTCATTTTCCCAGCCTGCTGTCCCTGCTGCTCGCAGGCTTCACCCGCTGTGAGTGTGTCTCTGGAGTGTCAAGGAGGAAGATGTGACCCAGGACGCTCACCGAGGGGTGAGGTGGATCCTGGGGGGGGGGTGTCCCCGAGATGGGCTGGCTTCCCACTGCCACCATGTGGGGTTACCCCCAAGGGTTGGAGATACTGTGACCTGCCGAAGAATCTCGGAAGAAGATTTGGGGTCGTAATGATCCCGAGCTTGATGTGAACTAGGACCATTCTCCTCTGGGCTTCCTGCCCCCACTGTGAGTGAGAGCCTCCCCCGGGCGTGCTGCTCCTGGGACCAGTTATCCCGTAGGGAAACTACCCCAGGACATGCCAGGAACGTGGAAAGAAGAGATGTGGGCTTCAGGGGTCTGAAGAGGAAGGAGCCCCACCTGGGAGGCAAGGGAAGGGGAAGTATTTATCGACCACCAGTGTGGGATGGTCTCAGTATTAGGGAAAGCGGGGGACCCAGGGCTTCATCCTGCCCTTCCCCCACCCCTGTCTCCCGGGCCGTGTCTCTGTAGTGCTAGCTTCCTCCTCACCCCCATCCTGCCTTGGCCTCAGTTTCCTCTACAAGTAAGAGCACCCCAATCCTCATGCTCGGGAAAGGCCACCGGCCCTGCCACAGAGCCAGCTCCTCTGTGCCCCACGCCCTGGCTAGTACAGCCCCCTACCCCGCCCCCCCCCACACACACACACACACACACACACACCAGTCACAGAGGGGGTCTGTCCTCTGCTCGGTCCACAATGAGGATACCTCCTGTGGTCCAGTTCTGGGACAGGGTCTCTTGACCTTAGAGCCACCCCAGGCCACCCCTGCATGAAGAGCCCCTCCAGTGTTGGCTGACCTGTGTGGGGGCATTGACCAGGAACAGGCTACCCAAAAAGCAAGTTCAGCATGCGCTTCGGCCTCCACAAAGCAGGGCACCAGCTGTCTGCAGGAGAGATGCAGAGGGGCCCGGAGGACTGGTCATGGAGATAGCGAGCCCCATGGTGTGAGGGGCCCGGCCGG